TCGTCTGGTGATCAATATTACATTTATTCAGTACTTTTCCGTATGAATGCTTGCTTGATTAAGCAATATGCCACCACATTCAAAAACGAAGTTTAGATTAATAAAAAAGATGCTTGTTATTCATTTTCATCTTTGTTTTACGATGAAATGTGAGATCGCGAAACGCTTTCGTAATCAAACTTACGCGGTCGCTTTATTATTGTCTAACATCAATGTGGACCTATTCCGTTGAGTGTTCTGAGTTCTTGTAAACACAATCGGAAAGATTTTTTGGGAATAAAAGGTATTGTTAAATTTTATATCTTTTGTTTTTTTAACGCGGTTAGTCGTTATTTGACGATTACACCAGCTAGAATTTTTATAATTATTGGTCGCTTTTGATAACCAAATCCGCTTATTGAATTGATACGGGACCTTCTCAGGTGTGATATACTATTGATGATATTCTCCTGTTCATACTTTTCTATTTTCCATCCTCTTCTACTTTTTCATACTTCTCTACTTTTCACACTTTTCCTGTTTTTCTAATTTTCATTCTCCTTAATCTGTTGCTTTTAGCTCTTTTCGACCTTTTCCTTTAGTCTTCTTTTGTTTATAATTCTGAGGCTCTACTCTTTTCTCAACAGTTTTCTGTGGTCATATTGTCTCGTGGCTCACTCTCATAGAAACGCTTCCCTCTTTCTCCGCTCACTCCCAAATTCTCAGCGAATATAAATTATGAAGTCGAGATAAGACCCACAAACAGAGGAAAAACGGTAAAGGAAGAAACTGGAAAGGGATGAAGAGCAGAAAAGTATGAAAAGGACAAAAGTACGAGAGACCGAAAGGAACGAAAAGTGGAAAGAATAGTAACTGCAGCAACACCATGGACACAAAGACGTAGAGCTGCAGTATACTAAGCAAAGTTAAGAAGCACATATTATCTTACATATCTTTTGTGTAATCCAACACCTCTGACAGAGAGGATGATTATTCGCTGTGGTGACATAATTTCATACTTTCAAAAATCCTTTGCCATACAAAATACGATTAAATTTTTAGATTATACTTCGGTCGATACTTCAATGCACAGTCCAATGAAGAATTCACTCTACTCATTCATGATAGCAATTTTCGTGTGTTCGATCTATGCAAAATTTCCTCCTTCTGATACTTTTAACACAATAACAGAGATGGAAGATTTTGAACACTCTACATGTAGGAATAATTATTGTAACATTTCCTCCCAAACAGTTAGTGTAGAAATACAAAAGGTATCACATATTCAAAAACATGATTGGTTAATATACATTTTGCAAAAACTGTTTTGGATAACGACTGGTTTTCAAAGTCTTATAGCACTTGATCGTCTCTTACATCTCTCTTTGCGACTATTTGGACCGAAATATAATCCACCATCGATGAATCCTAAACTGATGGCAAACAATTATCCTCTAGTCACTGTTCACCTACCAATGTACAATGAAACTGCTTTTTGTCAATCTATTATTGATTGTGTATGTAATCTTGATTATCCGAAAAATCGACTCTATGTTCGTGTTCTTGATGACTCAACAGATAAAAGAACTATTGACCTTGTCAATAAATCTGTAAAACTGTGGAGAAGACGGGGTATTCAGATAGACATCCAACGACGAATCCTTCGACATGGCTTCAAAGCAGGAAGTCTAAATGAAGCCATGCTTTACACTCGAGGTGCAGAATATGTTGCTATATTCGATGTTGACTTTTTACCGGAAGCCGATTTTCTCTTGCGAACAATTCCATCTTTGATAGCTAACCCTGACGCAGCTTTTGTCCAAACTCGATGGACCTTCACCAACGAGAAAGAATCATTTTTAACTCGAATGCAAGAAATATCCCTAAACTATCATCATAAATGTGAACAAGAAGCCCGTTGTCGAGCATCGTTTTTCATGAATTTTAATGGTACGGCAGGTGTGTGGAGAATATCAGCTATTGAACAGTCTGGTGGATGGAATACAGATACTTTAGTGGAAGATTTGGATTTATCATTGCGCGCGTATCTCAATGGATGGATATCAATATATTTATCGGATGTTGAATGTCAGAATGAACTTCCACCCACATTCGCTGCTTATTTGTCGCAGCAACATCGATGGACAACCGGTCCTGTTCAAGTACTACGAAAATTGATTGGACAGGTGTGGAATGCAAAACGAATCGGACTCTTTCAAAAAATTTTTTGCACATGTTTTTTGTTGCGTAGTTTTATTCACTTAATGAATATTTTCTATTTTATAATACTCATGCCATTAACAATCTGGTCGCCTGAAATTGGCATATTGGCTATGGAAAACATTTGTTTGTCAGTGATAATCTCAATGTCACAAGTCATTTTCACACCAAACGAACTTTTCTGGGGATTTCACTTTGTTTTGTTCGAAAATGCAATGTGCTTGTTCAAAGCTGGAGCAACAATATCTGGTTTGTTCAATTTTGGACTCGCAAGAGTTTGGCATGTGACGCCGAAATACGCACGAAAAACACACAAAAATTCAGCAGTTGTCAATGTAGCAAGACGAATGAAAAATCATATTATCAGTCCTCCTAAACCACTTAACGTCTCGAAAATTCTTAAGTTATATAAACGCAATTTTTTAATGGCAGTTTTTCTACTCATCTGTTCTTATTATGCCTTTCAGGTTCGACAGTATGGATTATGTATGTATACTTTCCCTACCGGAATTATGTACATGGTTTTTGCATTTGGCTATCTTGGGCGTTCCGAGTAGATTTTCCTGTATTATACAATCTCAAATATAAAAAACCGGGAAAATTTGATGGAAGTCTTGAGAACAATTATTTCTCCTATAACGCTTCCTGATCTCATTTTTTCATTTAACATATCTAAATTAGATATTTAACATATGAGTAATCAATCAAGCATTCATACGGAAAAGTACTGAATAAATGTAATATTGATCACCAGACGG